GCAACACGTTGCTGATCACCAAAGGCACAGCGTACACACATAGATTCTAACTGTGGGTTTGCGTTTGACAAATCATCTTGACACCTCGTCGACACCAACAAGACAAGCACACACAGACTCAATTTTGTATTGGATGTCATAAAAATGGGCTATGGACATGATTTGCAATGCAATAAACTTAATTGAGTGCGCGTCAGTCTTTAATTTTAAACCGTCAACGGTATTCGAACTCCCCAGCAACCGGTTCCCCTTTTGCAAATGACCAAAACAAAATACACTCACATTTAGCCGAAAGGAAAAAATAAAACAAATTGGTAGAAATTAAATGAATATAAAAAGAATTTGGCAGAACGCTTCGATTGGAAGGCGCGAAGTCGTAAAGTATCTTTTGATGCCGTCATGAGTTAAGCTACACAGTTTTCGGTCATTTTTAATGATGCCATTAAAATCGCTGGTATTCGAGATATAGGAATTATTTGATTTGATTTTTTTGTTGTTGCTGTTGTTGGCTGTTGTTCAGATTTTGAGTTGAGTTGAGATTTAATTGTTGCATTATAAAAACCTCAATTTAATATCCACGTCGCAGTTTAAATGGCGCCAAGAACGCTTCACGATCGAGCATTTGCCAACTAACTGATTCGTTCGGTCATTATTAATTTGAAATTTTTGTGGTGCCGCTATAAATATTTCTTATAGCGGCTATAAATCGACGTGCCACATTGCTAAGCCACACACACACACACACACACACACACACTTAACCGATACTAAAGTGACGCACTTCTTTGGCAAATTGTCAACCACATATTTAAGGTGGGTGGGTTGTGGTTGGCCGGTGGTGCAAACTGATGTTAACTGGACAACTAAGCAGCGCTAACCAAACAGCTAACTAAACTGTTGACTTTTTGCACTTGCCTACTTTTTTTTATAGTAATTTATTTATTTATTTTTTCATTTCAATTAAATTTTTAATAACTTTAATTTTCGTCAAAGACTCCATTGTAATTATTCTAATTTTCTTAATCACAATATATACGAGCTATTTTTTACATTTATTTATCTACATTACTTAGGTATCTTTATTATTTGTCGAAAACTCTCCAAATTTTGGTTTCGTTTTTGGGTTTTATAGAAACCTTCAACTTACTTTCCTCCCAAAATGTTGTGCATTTCACATGGCAGTTGACCACATTGTCAAACCACGAGCAACAACACAAGCAAAAACTAACAGCAACTTGAAGCCGTTTTCTATGCAAATTAAATTAATTTACAACAATTAAAATAAGCCGCATCTAATGCGCCGTAATGTCTGCTGTCGACATACAAACTGCAAATCCCGACGTAAGCTGCACTTGAAAAATGGTTAAAAAGTCAACACGATGCGATCTGTGTGAGACAAGCGGGCTTAACTATAGATACATACTTGTAGATATGCACAGAGATACAGAGATACAGAATACAAAGGCAGCGGCAGTTCCACTCCACTCGTGAGTGGAACTCTGCGGTATTTCCGTCATTTAAGCAGCGGCTTAAAATGTTTCTTCATTAGAATAACTGTCATAAAAATAAACGCATAAAATTTCAAAATACTCGCCGTAAGCGGATCTAATCATTTTCCCATAAACAGACGCAGCTGCTCAAGCAAAATCTGCTTAAATTTCACCTGACACGCTAATTTGGCTAATAAACATACCAAAATATACAAAAAAAATATTTAAAAAAATACTAATAACAATAATGTGCCCGTCAAAAACCACAAAATTCGGAGGAAACCATCAAACGTGTGAATCGAAGGCGCCATTCAGCCCCCGGATTGGATTAGTGTTGGCCTAAGCCATACAAAGTGTCAGCAAACATAAAAAAAGAGCCACAAAATAGAAAAATAATCTATATATGAGTAAAATACATATTAATAAATTGTATATTTATACAAGAAAGTAATAAAAGAATACTTATCGCATTCTGTTTATAACAACAACGAAGGCACGCTGCTCAGAACTCGAAATACCTCGGAATACAATACAGACAATTGGCAACATGGCTATCAAAATATATATATAACATAATTTTGTTAAAAATCAACCGATTTTCGTGATTTCAAGTCTACATTAAAAATGCATAGAAGTTGAGAAACTTTGCTTTTGGTCGAAATTCTCGAATGAATATTCTCTCCAAAATTAATCAATCGTTCAACGAGTAAACATTAAAAGTTAATATTTTGAGTACAAGTTCAGGATATGTATCGGTCAGGCAGGTGCAAAATACGTTTTTCTTTTGTAGTGACATGGTTATAAATGGTGTATAAAATCGAATAAGCTATTAGCCGATGATATATGGCTATGACGCCAACCGGAGCAGCATTATCATGCAAATCTTTTTGTGGCATTCTGGAATAGAGAGCTGTCTGTGTGGTAAAAGATATTACAGGTTATAAGTTAATAAATATGATCATTAAAATGGCACATTAGATCGGAAGTTTTACATTTGAAATACTGAATACTGACTATTAAGGATAGAGTTTATGGCGACCAGTTGCAAGCAAAAATCGAGATACATATTTATAGAGTTTTTGTGTGTGAATGTTGAATGCCGCCAACAGAAATGTGACAACTGATTTGTGTAGCTCAATTCATTGCTTAACATATTTATTTTTTGTTAAACAAATTTATAAATTATTACTTTTGGCGCATAATAAAATTTCATTAGCGATCGCCGCCGAAGGCGTTGGCGTTTTTTTTCCTCTGTCGCGCGCTGCTGGCGCCAGTTTTTTTGTTGCTGTTGGTTTTTTTTTTTGGATTTTGCGGCTTCGTCGACGCCTGGTTTTGGCCTTTGTTTTGGCCAGATCTGTCACTGAGCCAGAGGCGAGCGCGGAGCTTGATAAATCTCTCAACGGCAACGGCATCCACAACACTAATATTTTGATGGCTGGCGTTTGACCACTCGTCGCACTTGCGCTCAATTTGCATATGTCGACTCTGAAATGCTTTAGCATTCACACATTTTTCGTTTTTCTCTCGTTGGGTAATTAATTTTGGACAAGCCATAAATCTTGTATACTTTGCATATATTATTATTGTATTATTATTACATATTTATTTATGACTTATGCACTGTCAACATTCCAGCATACATCTACATCTGTATCTACATTTACGTAGACATATCAAGAGTTTTCCCTCGATAACCTCACTAAGCTTACAAAGCCGCAACTCCTACGCAGTTTTTAATTTTTATTATTGTATTTTCAGTTTCGGTGTCAATCCGAACTTGTGGCAATCTGTTCAGATTGAGGTCACAGACTGAGATTTACACATTGTCACATTGTTCGAGATTCTTATCAATTGTTACACGATTTTCGTATTACGCTTTTAATACAAGCGACATTCGGAATTCCGTTGAGTCAAACTCTCCTCTCCGATAGAGATATATCCGGTTTACCAGATGACCTTACGATCCAATGCGAACTCGGTTGTTTTTACTGTGTGCTTGCAAACAAAGATGATTCATAATCCCGTAGAATCTGAAATGTGGATGAACATCAATCGGAACAGTCCGTCCTAGCAGTCCTATCACTGGCAATCCTTGTGGATCCCGTTTATTTGTCTAAGCATTTGTCTTGACCAGGGTGTTTGGGTTCCTAGATGACCCCATAATTCTTGCTTCCACTTCGATAGAGGTTGTCCTTCTGATTCTAACGCAACATGTCCTTCGACAGCCCGCAAGGATTTGGCCTATATAGAGCTATTTTTGTGAAAAGGAAATCCGTTTTTTTGGTCGTAAAACATCAATTTCCGAAAAGATCTCGGAATGATATATATTTTTGAGCTTGTCTGACAAAGGACTATCGATTAACGCTGAAACATTTTCGGGATTTGACAAAAAAAATTGGCCGAAAATGACACAAGGGTACCCCCTTGTGTAAATTCACAAAACACGAAAAAGCGGATTTTCTGGTTGCGACTCATTGCCCTTCGACCTGTGATCAAATTCTTATAAGGCTTTGGGTTCTTCGATGGCACCATGATCCTGGAATGCAGTTCTATAGTTAGTCCTTGCGATTCTAACGCAACATGTCCTTCGACAATCCGCAAGGATTTGGCCTAGATAGAGCTATTTTTGTGAAAAGGAAATCCGTTTTTCTGGTCGTAAAACATCAATTTCCGAAAAGATCTCGTAAGGACATATATTTTTGAGCTCGTCTGACAAAGGACCATCGATTAACGCTGAAACATTTTCAGGATTTGAGTAAAAAAATTGGCCGAAAATGACACAAGGGTACCCCCTTGTGTAAATTCACAAAACTCGAAAACGCGGATTTTCTGGTTGCGACTCATTTCCCTTCGACCTGTGATCAAATTCGTATAAGGGTTTGGGTTCTTCGATGACACCATGATCCTGGAATGCAGTTCTATAGTTAGTCCTTGCGATTATAACGCAATATGTCCTTCGACTATCCGTAAAGATTGGACTGAGCTAGAGCTATTTTGGTAGGCTCACCTTTTATTTGCACGTTGCCCCGCCCCACGATCGATCGGTTGTGAAATGAATACGTCAGGTTTGTATTGTACTATATGTGTTTCATATTTATTTTGAATTCGTATCGTTTCATCGTCATTCGCAAATTGCTCATTATAATTACTATTATGGTTATGATTGGGCTGCAGCCCCGCATTATCGTTAACAACATTCATATTTGCATTATAATAATTAATATTAGGTTGTTGTTGCTGCTGCTCATGTTGGTGTTGTTGCAGTTGTTGTTGCTGCTGCTGCTGCTGTTGTTGTTGTTGTTGTTGTTGCTGCAACTGTTGCAACTCCAGGCCTGTGAAATAGTTGTCTTCTTTTTGGCTATCATCGTTGTTATTATTGTTGTTGTTGTGGCTGTTGCTGTTGTTGTTGCTATGGCTATCGTCGCTTATATTTTGCTCAACAATATGATTGCGATTGGGCGCAACAACAACAGCAACTGTTGCCGTTGTCGTTGCAGCAACAGCTGGTACAGCTGCGCTGCTGGTGCTGGTGCTGCTGCTACTGCTACTGCTGCTGCTGCTTTCAATTCGATCGTTTATCAATTGCTTAAGATTAATGTCAATGTTGTCATTGAAATTGTTGTTACCACTCCTTCTCAAGCTATTGCTATTGCTATCGCTATGGCTATTGCTATTGCTATTGCTATGGCTATTTGGACTATCAAACTTAGTGCTAGTTGCTAAACTACTAGAATCAGTCGTGCTACTTTTAGTATTCATATTATTATTATTCATATTATAATGCTCGTTACTGTACAAGTAGTTGTAGTTTTTTGGCAAGGCAGGTATTGCTTTATTAACATTACTATGGCTATTACTAATTAAATTAAATGCTATATTTAGTTTTTGTTGTTTAGGTATTAAGTTTAAGTTTAAATTACTATTAACATAGGCGTTTGAGTATTCATTTTGTTGTTGCGCACCCTGTGCACCCTGTGCCTGCTGCTGCTGCTGCTCCTCCTGTTGTTCTTGTTGTTGCTGCGGCTGCTTCTGTTGCTGTTGCAGCTGCTGTTGCTGCTGCTGCTGCTGCTGCTTTGAGGGCGTCTCCACCAGCTGCATATCCATATCAGCCCCACCACTTGCGGCCGCTGCACGTTTTCGCCGGCCACGCTTGCAACCACTCGCCGCCAAAATGGCACACAAATTGAGAGCTGACGGCGCCAACGAAGCCGTTGCTGTCAGCGCTGTCGATGCTGCTGTATACGACGAGGAGGACGAGGATGAGGCTGTGGGCAGCTGATCGGTGGAATGTTGCTGTCGTCGCTGGCGTTCCTCCTGCTCCTCTTGCTGCTGCTGCTGTTCCAGTTCCGCCCGCAGTTGTTGGCGGCGTCGATGCATGTGTTTGCGCCCCTTTCGCCTCCGGGACGTTGCATTGTTGTTGTTGTGACGATGACGCAACACAAGGTTTTTCGGTTGCGGCTGCGGCTGTTGCATGGCGCCGACAGCATTGTGATGACGCTGCTGCAGCTGATTCTGATGCTGACGTTGCTGCTGGAGCCGGTGTTGTTGTCGCTGGTGTCGCATATGATTGCGTTTCAGGATCTTCTCCTCGCGCAGCGCATCCTCGTCTTGCTTATAATACTTAATGCTATTGTTGTTGTTGTTGCTATTGTTGTTGTTATTATTGTTGTTGGTAGAACTATTTCTATTAATACTTGTGTTTGTTGTTGTTGTTGCTGGCTGTTGTTGCTCCTGGCGATGCATTGATTTGCCACGTAATCGTTTTGGCACCGCCACTGGGCTAGGCGTAGTTGTTGTTGTTGTTGTGGTTGTTGTAGTCGATGTAGTTGTGGTTGTTGTTGTTGTTGTTGTGGTTGTGTTTGGAGTTTTTTTTTTCATTGTTGTTGTAGACGTATTTTTCTTCTCAATTGATGTGCCTTGTTTAGTTTCGGCCAAATGGACAAGATTCTTCGGCACGTGCTCGGCCTTCAATCGATTGAACTGGAAACACGCATTGCGCATGCGATGCGATCTCTGCATATCCCTAGGCCCAATGGGACGAAAGTTGCGCTTGATGCCCACTCGCAACACCGGATTGTAGGCATTCACATACTGATAATAACCCTGAGTCATTGACTCTCTGAAGTGGCAATCGTTTGTGGCGTTTCTCTAAACGGATCAAAAGAACATTAAAAAAAAGAAAAAGTTGAAGATTAATTAAGTGGTAGAGGTAGAGTTACTGATTGGTTCTTAGTTCTTTCTATTTTTAATTTCTTAAATATTTTATTTAAATTTAATGCCCAAGTGTACTTTTTATAGCAAAATAATAATCTCATTCATAATCCCATTCAATTTGTCTATATCACTCAAAATAGAGCTTCCCAAGAATTCCACTACATTTTTTTCCATATGTTTGCTCAACAATGCTATCTATGAGATATCGATAAATTCAGTGTGTTTATCAAAAACAAAAAAAAAATATATATATATATATAGATATAAAAGAAATATATTATTCATTGCTTACCCTTCCAACAAGTCTGCCTTGGGCAAAGCACAAATAGTTCTTCACATCCTTGGCATAGATGGTGATTTTGAAATCCGGGCTGAGTACATCGCCAACCTTCTCCATTGTGAAGGATTCTGCAAATGGAAACCAATCAATTTTAATTAATTATAAGCAAACAAACTGTTACTTCTTAAGTAAATATTTAAAGGGGGAGCGCGCAGAGGGGGCCGCCTCACACTTCAGCACGCATAGATAACCCAATTAATTGAAAGGTTTTCGATAAAGTTATGAAAGGTTTGATTAGCCGAGGGGCAGCAGCAGACGGTAAGGTTCCCAGTTCTTAGTTCTCTGTTCTCAGTTAACAGTTCTACACGACAATCAGTCAGTCAGTCAGTCAGTCAATCAGTCAATCAGTCAACTAATGAGTAGAGTTCTTATCAAGCTGCGCCAATCAACCAATGAATTAAAGAGCCATTCTTCTACAGTCGTTGAACTTCTTTCTTGTTCTATGGAGTACAACTAATTAATAATGTCTTTCTTGTCTTTGACAGCTGTTTGTGTGTCTGACACTCTTCACTTGTGGGACTGCATCTTGAAGAGATTCTTCTTGCTCTTTTCAAGAGCCTTCAGCAAAACTAATCTGTCAAATTGGCCAAGTCTGACAAGGTTTTCACTGAGCCTAAGCCCATGTATCAAGTACACCCTTCGAAAGAAACCCCAAAAAACAAGTACAACAGCAAAACGAGCTACCTTAAGATAAGATAAAATACCAAAACTAAAAAAACTAACTACTGGCGCCTGCTCCCACACTTCTTGTCTGCTCTCTCACTCTTTTTCTATACGTCTATCTCTATCTTTTGTATGTTATTTATGATTTATGAACTTTTTGCTGTTCTCAAGTTAATCGGCAATCGCTGATCGCTGATCGCTAATCGCTAATCGAAACGTGGCCAATATGACATATCCATGATCCGCAATCTGATGATTAGATATATTTAGTTTCGAGTGTTTAGATTTTGTGCTCTAACTCTATATCTAGTTAACTACTCTTAAGCCCTCGCTCAAGTTGATTTGCTCAGATATACATATGTCTATATGTATATATGGATGCAGTTCAGTCAGTTGGATCTTCTCACGCTCATTGATTGCTGATGACTGCTGTCGTTGTCGCTATCGCTTAGAGATCAACCCATTTGTGGGTGCTCCGTTGTTGCTCCTGAACTTCACCCACTGAGCACAAACCAATCCAAACTGATCGAGCGGCAAAAAGACAAATGATTGGCAAGGGGAACAATGGAAGCAAACCGCATGAATTCGAATAAATTGAAAGAAGAAAGAAGCAAGGTCTGAGATATGAAACCGCAAGCTGTCTGTCTGTCTGTCTGTCTGTGTGTGTGAAACTGGCGCTCAATGGCGGGCCACATAACATCAATCAAATATTAAATTACCAATAATTTAATTAAGCCCACAATATGCACAGACAGACGCGCGCCCCGAGTTCAAAATAAATGCCAATTCAATTTAAATGCCATTTGACCAGCTCCGCCTCCTCATCTACAGTTATCTGTGTATATCTGTATATAGTATGGTATAGTAGTGATATCGGGCATAGCTGTACTTACGTGCTTGTAGTATTTTCTCGGCGTACACTCGACCTTGCGGATTTATATGCAGCGCCCTGTTGTTGTGGCTCCTCAAAGTTAAAATGTATTCGTCCGTTTTCTTTGCACATGTTGTAGTTACAAGAGCAAGCATTACCTAAAACACAACAAACAAACAAACAAACATTATAGGGTATTTGGTAAAGGGTATATCTGCATGTATCCTGCCTTAATCCTAGCCATAAATTGGCATTAATATGCTGAGCTTTTGGGAGAGACTAGCGTCTAAACCTGTGCCACACACATGCGACACAAAATGCCGCAAGGTTTTTTGCATTTTACTGCACCACACACTGCAGCACAGTGGCCATTAAAGCGGCTAGTCGATAGCAAATTGGTTTTGTGAATGGTTCATCAGCTAATCCTGCACATTGTTGCCACATAAACTCACTCTCTCCCTCTCTCTCTCTCTCTCTTGCTCTGTGGAGGGTCGCAGCTGCAACAGCTTGGCAACAAATTGCATGCTAATCAATATACGAGTAACATATCAATACAGACAGAGAGAGAGAGGGAGAGAGAGGGAGAGAGACATGGAGAGAGAGAGAGAGAGAGTGTGTAGACAATTCATTATTATTCTTTTAACTGCCCAGATATTTTATATCTTCCCATTCCGTCAGCTAACTGAACAGATCCCAAAGTTTGCTTAGGTTTATCAACTGTGTTTACAAAGCAGAAATCTGTCGATAAACTTCGATAGAAAATTAACTGGCTTATCTGCAGTCAATCATCAATCAAATCTGGCTAACCACCTTCAATCTGACCTCTAATCAGAGTGTGTGCCACAAACAGTGGCGTGAGGAACACGTGTCTGCCCCATGTGCCTGTTAAGCACACGTTTTTTTTTTTGTCGTTAACTAATTTGGGCTGCTGTCGATATCGCAAATTGATATATGACCAACAAAATATGCGCAGTCAGCCAAACAAAAAATACAAAATACAATTCAGATTATTATTTGTGATATCTACAACCAAGTTTCTGCATGGCAAGGGGGAGACGAGAGGGCTGGAAGTCTGACAATACACTTGCCACACGGCACTACAGCCAGTTGCAAGTAATGGAGCACAGTTATTTTGGGTGTAGTATCTATAAATATGTGCACCTAAGTCGAAGGCTTAAAAGTGACTTACGCATTATAAATGATGGACAAATAATTACCATGTGCGAATGTGCTCAAGCCAAAACAAATTGACCTAAGTCGCAAGCTCCACACTCCCCTCCCCCCTCTCATTCGGGGCAGACACTTGTTGAAATTCCTTAGCTTTATTTGTATTTTGTTGTTGTTGTTTTTTTGTTGTTGTTGTGGCTGCTTGTCAGCATTTCATCATTCTTCAAGTTGACACAAGATCAAACAGCAATATAACCAAAAGTGTCAGTTTATTTCTCATATACCCTCCCCCTCCCCCTGCCCCTGCCCCTGCGCCTCATCTACCACTGTAGCACTCTTTAACTTTCTGTTTGGGGGGCTGCTTCTTCTGCTGTTTATGCTACTCATAAAAGTTGTTCGTTTTTTTTTTCAGTTTTGTATTTGTTATTTTTGAGTTTTCAGCTTTTTTGACGGGCGACCTTTTTCCATAGTTCAATGACGTTTTAGTGTGTGTGTCTGTGTGTGTGTGTGTGTAATAGTAATAATAATTATTATTTTTTTTATTTTTATTACTATGTTGCGCTCGACTCAAGTGGAGATCTGGTCAGACCCTGAGCCAGTAGTGAGTGGCCCAAGCAGATTCCAAAGCAGACGAAGCCACTCCAATGTACACAAAAACCGCCTCAGATATCGAACACCCCTCTCCATTCCCCCTTGCACCCCACACACACCCTACTCCCCATACACTTGACTTGTGATTACACACTCGATCTTGTTATAATAATCAAACGGAAAGAAATACTACACACACAGAGACAGACATATTGATATATAAATACGGTTTTTTTTATGATAATTATTTGGAGTGCTGAAAGCAATGACAACGACAACAATAACAACAACTGTCACAACAGCAATTTCGTATCGAATGGACACAAATAATCTCTAAAAACAAAAAGCAATCCATAACAGATATTAACAGAGTGTTAATAGGATCGACTTCCCGAAAAATCCCGAGATCTGATTTCAGGCGTAGAATTTCTGTATATGAGCTATCTAATAATAACCGTTTGTTTAACCAAGTGCTAATCGACTTTCATTAAAAATAAATAAATAAATATTCATATTGCCGCAGATTACCGCAGTTCAAGTCATAGAAATGCAAAATATATCTTTACACCTCGCAAGCGTATCGTAAATCAATCAAAGCAATCCGATCTTTGAATAAAAATAATACGAACACGCCCATTATCAATTCGAATCTGCGATAAAAGTTTGCAATTATGCCACGTCATTGTCGAGAGGTACTTGGCATTTAATTAAAGTACAATTGCAATGGGTGCCCGATTAACAGTTACCCTGCAAACTAAAGAATGAGTACTAATCAAAAATGCAAAAGTAACTTTTATACTTATAGATACCCTTTAAGCTAACATTTAATTGGGGTTGCTTTAACTTACCATCAGTATAAAAATAATCCTGGCATTGAGCAGCATAAACTGTAGTAACCTGCAAGTATATGGAAACGAAAGGTTAATATCATACTCAAATAATTATATATACATATACACATATATAGATATATATTGAGAGAGACTTACGATATCTACTATAAATAAAATGTTATACGGCAAAAAATTAGCATAAATCACACAGATTATTAATGATTCTTATTTATTTTATTGATTTGTTTTGTTTTTCAGTTGTGGTTTTTTTTCTTCTCATTTTTTTTTCTCGTTTTGAGTACAACTTCCGTCTCGGGGCTGGGAATTGGGAAGCTGAAAACAACAATTAAGTCATTTCATTTCATTGCACGATCGTGAGCTCTTTAAACAAAAGCGTCAATAATATTATTGAAAGCCACAATCAAAAAACAAAAAAAAAAGATGAACTGCTACCTTTTGAGTAGTATTCACGAGTAGTATTCATATGAGTACATGAATACGAGTGCGAGTACCGAGTATGAGCAGCATTTTTGCTCGGGCTCAATGTCAATGGTTATGGAAAAAGCCCAAGAAAACGTTTTCTGTTTTTGTCGTGCCTATCGATTGGATCGCTATATACAATATACAATATACAAGACATATATATATATATATACCATACTTATATTTTTAGTGCATATATATTTTGTTTCAGGCGACTACTAATCCCCTTTGGCAGAGACTGCGGCACAGCCAAAAGGTCATTGATTTCAGCTTAGAGAAAGAAAGAGAGAGCGACAGAGACGGAGAGAGAGAGAGAGAGGGGGGCTAAAGAGGCAGCCAAATGCTCGAAGGGTAGTTTCTTAAGACGAAGGTCTCTTGTTCAGTTCTCGTGTTCTTATTCTTGTTTTTTTTTTTCACAATTTGCTGCCGCTTTTGCTTTTGAAAAGTGAAAATCGCGCACAGGCCACAATGGCAACAAGAGGCGACTCGAAAGTGCACAAGAAATCAATACAAGAGAGACCATCGAAATAAATATACATATATATATAAAAAACAAAAAAACACAAACCTGAGTTGAGGCACAGCCCAATTCAAGTCCCAAGTCCCCCGGCCACATGTGCAAATTATACAGTGCCCAATTTAGCGTTCACAGTAGGCAGTCGCCCCAAATCCAGACCCAATTTGAGAGTAGTTTAATTTAGTAGCCCAGGCCGACTTTACTCTCAAGCTCTTCGATTTTTATCATCATTTTTCAATTTCACAGCAGACAATAAAAGAAAAAAAGAAGAGAAACCAAATCAAGTAAGCCCAACAAATGGCATCTTTCAAATGTCTTCGCACAGTTTCATTTATGGGGCGGCTGTTCTTCTTTCAGAAGTGTTTCAGAATTCGCTTAGCCAAGCAATTAAGTGCGCTATGTTTGTGTTTTTTATTTGAGCTTGTTTTTTTTTTAGTGGTTTTGAGTTTGTGTTTAGCTTGCATTCGACATAATTATGATTTAGACAACTCGAATTTCAACGGAAGCTTCAAATGGAGCAGCTGATCGAGTTTGATAACGCCGAGCGCAGCTTCAACTTTTTTGGCAATCAACTTTAAAGCTCATTAAAGCTTTCGTTTAGCTTGAATTAATGTTATATATTTTGTTAAAGCTTTAAAGTTTATTTAAAGCTCGTTGAGCCAATGTTATCTCAGCTGCTCGCAATCAAAGCATCTCATTTGAAATTCAAGCGTAAAGTTTACATTATCAACCCTATAGCGCCACAGCAGTTGCTCTCGAATTGAAACTGAAATGGAAAATGGAAATGGAAGCCAAGTTGAGGCCAGTTTCTGTTTCTAATGCACACACACACACACACAAAAGCTCAGTTAATAATGCTGCTTGGCTTGGTATTGTGACCCGTTGTGCAAACCGCACTTTCTTGTTGTTGTTGCTGTTGTGTTCTATGAGTATTCTATTCTTCTTCATTTCAAATGGTTGTTGTTGTTGCTGTTGTTGCTGTTGACTGTCTCTATGCCACATATTTCTCATGTATGTAATTTGATATTACTTCATTCCGCTGTGCTTTACTTTTGTTTCCTTTACAATGCGGCTCATAATTACCTTTTTGGTATGCAGACAGAAGCACATAGTCCACAGCAGAACAGCACAGAAAATGCGGCAGACGCCCAAATGAACTTGAGTTAAGTTTTTTTTCTTCTTTTTTTGTTGTTGCTGGTCTTCAAAAGTCTGGCACTCTGATTGTGTTTGTTTGTGTGTCTGACGCAATAGCGACGCCGTTCTTGTCCCTCTGCCAGCCAGTTTACTTTGTTGGCCCCATGTGCTTTGCATATTGAACAGTTTTTACTTCTTTCTTCGGTTTGTTTTTTCTCTTTTTTTTTTTTTGGCATTTGCCCGTGGTATATATTTTTCAGCTATTTTATAAGTTTTTACGGCAATTGAGGAATTTCGTTTGTGGGGGGGAGTGAGGACACAGGAACGTGCCTGCATTCACTGAACGGTTGGCAGCAAGGACCACCCCGAGTCCGAGCATGCACTTGAAGAAAAGCATAAGACTTTGACTGCAACTTAGCGACAAAATGGGTTAAAGCTAGCTAAATTATGCTATGCTATCAGTTATACAGAGGCGCCTGTTGATCTGCGATTAGGAATCAGCCAGTTCTCCAATATCAGCTTTGTTGTTGTCTAATATCAGCCATGTTCTCTTATATCAGCTAAGTTGTCTAACATGTGTAGTTCCGCGTGTGTGTTTGTGTTTTCCCAATTCGAATTGCTCACCAGCATAGCACTCGAGGGCCAGCCGACGTCATCGGGCAATCTAATCGCAGACATGCCACAATTCTGCTTGCCCGTAATTAGCACGCATTTCTACAAATGCAAATCACAAAATGACAACACAAATCCAAAACCAAATCAAGCACAAAGTCTGCAAATCAACAACCGCAGAATGTGATCGGCTAGCCAAGACTTAATCTAATTCCAATAAACCCAAAGCTCGTAAACACCTTTCGCATACACGTTCACGTTGTGTTCACGTTTTCGACGCATTTTTATTTGGCTGATTTTTATTTTTATTGTTTGGCCAACACGTGCCACACGTTTTCTTTTTTTTTTTTGCAAATTAAGCCGGATGATCAACTTATTGAATCCGCTAAATCATCGTACTTAGACATTGGAGTAGTAAGTTAGTAAACAACTGGAGCTCGCTGGCTACTTAAGAATGCTCGGAGGAATGCGACAGTGATTAGATTAGGCCATAAAGTAGTCGACCAAACTGAATTGGCGGGTCAAGATTTATGATAAGTGAAAGTGCTAAAAATAAACAGAAAAAAAGGTATCTGAGGACGAAGCAATCAATCCTTGCTCGATTAAGTGCCACGTGCACTCTCCCTCTCTCTGTCTCTGTCACTCTTCCTCTCTCTCTCTCTCTCTCTCTCTCGCTCATCAATCATGTAATCGCTTAATAACAATTACATGCAGCAGCAAACCCTTCTTCTGCTTCCTGCCACGTGTTTTGTGGCCAAGTGTGAAATTTCCTGCTGTCAATTGTGTGTATAACGATCATGAATACCATGATGATGATGATGATTACAATGATGATGATGATGTGATGGTCACCCTAATGCAATGATACCCCTGCTGCTGCTACCCCCCTCGCCGCACCCTGTTGGCATACCTCGTTTGCTGCCATGCACTTAATGCAATTTTCGTTTACTTTTGTTTTAGGGGTTGTAACTTCACCGTTATTTAATACTCCTCTTGCATCATCCACCTTGCGCTTTTTATTTTGTTACTTTACTTTTTTTGTTTGCAGCTACTGCTTCAGTTAGCGTTGTCCTCAGTCAACCCCCCAACCCACAATTGTTTACCCTTCTAAGCCGGCTGCAATTGCAACTCTTGCCTGATTGTTGCTGTTGTTGCATGTCCTGTGTAATATGTTGTTGTTGTTTCTGTTGTTGTTGTTGCTACTGGGCTAGGGGCGTACGCCTTAATGAAGTTCCAAAAGGGAAACATTACGCTTTGGGCTCTACTCTGACTTTCGCCAGTTGCCAGCAGTTTGCTGTTGTGTTTCTTATTTGTGTTGCATGTTTTCTATGAAAATATTTATGTGACATGACTATTAAAAAGGAAAACATTATTAGAGAACAAGCTAAAGTACATTTTGGTATTTTCAGCGAAATCTTAGCATACTTTTTGCATCGTTCGCAAACTAAACTAAGCTCAGTTGTAAGATTATATAGTATAACTCCCGGGAATGTGGCACTTGAACTTGCAGAGCTTGGGCTGCAATAACAGCAACAACGCCCCAAATATGAGAAACAGCATTCCAAATTAACAACAGATCAGAACAGAACAGACAGACAAACAGACAGACAGACAGACAGACAGATATACAGAGAGACAGACAACAATAGCAATCGAGTTCAGTCAACTCCAGCGATAAGTTCGTATCTGTTAGTACCCAAGTATCCAAGTATCTAAGTATCTAGCTCATCTACACATGCGAATAATTTGGAATACTGTGCAGAGAAGTGTGCTGGAAAGTGAAGAGAGAGAGAGAGAGAGAGCGAAAGAGAGAGAGAGAGCGAAAGAGAGAGATGTGCTTAGTGCCTCTCAGCCTCTCCTCAGTGTCGTGCCCTTGCACAAATCTGAGCTCATTAGCAGGGCCAAACCCCTTCTGGAATGTGGCCTGCATAATTCTCAAATAGGCGTGAAAATAACACGGCGACAATTGAGTTGAGAGGGAGAAATATAGAGAGAGATAGAAAGAGAGGCAGGGCTTGTATCTAATGCGATTTTTTTTCTTTTTAATATTAAGCAGTTGCTGTGGGACACAGCTGCTTTAGGTGATAAGCGGCTTTCTACGTTCGACGGAGGGGGTTGAGTGAGCGAGTGATAAGCCAACACACACAGACAGAGAGAGAGAGAGAGAGAGAGAGAGGCTAGATACTACTTAAGTGGCAAGTAGTCGGCGCCTCGAACTCTAAATTCATTTATTTGTTGTTGCTGTTGGGCAAGCGCGCAACTTTCCCAGTATGTCAATATTGAAATATTGCACAGAAGAAGCAGCAGCAGCAGCAGCA